TATAAATAGTGGCAACCAGACAAGAGTGTGAAGAGAGCTAAAAGTAAAGCTGAGTGAAAGAGAGTTTCGGTCAGAGAAAAGTTAGAAAAAGTAAAGTTAACCATTGTAGGAGTGAATATCTTGACTGTTGATATGTTAAAGTGAGATTAACAGTTTTCTGATATTTTAGGAGAATAATTTGTCTTGTGAAAGGGTGTTCTAAAGCAATTGAACCTGCCTGTGTTGACTTTGACAAAAAGTAGATGAGTACCGGAAGTTCAGGATACGACTGTGGTAATTCATGAGCCAGCAAAAGTGAATTATGCACAGATACTAATTTCATGAAAATAGAGAAAAATAGTTCAGCTTATCAACTAATTCTGTACAGTATTTAAGATACAACTATGATATACATAGTGTAAAGAATTTTTGTACTTACGGTTAACTTGTTTTGAATATTATTTTAAAACAAGCAGAGGGCGTACTGTTTATTTATTGTCAGACACCTACCACAGAAGAATCCTTAGCCAAACTTAGTAGTTACCAATAATTCTATATTTCATATTTATTATTACTCTTATCAAAACTCCATCATGCCCTAGACTTTTCCAATTTTTTTATTCTTAATTAAAGTTTTCACTTCCTCATTACAGGTAGAAAATAAATAAATGAAATTATTTTTTTTAATATATTAAGTGTCTTAATGATTCATTACAATTTTATAATTTTTTCTGCTATATTTAAAAAACAGTTAACTTTGTTCGCTAAATTTCTAAATACTTCATTATAATTTCCTCTTTCACAATCTGCCCAATCAAGTAATTTTATTTTCCTATTTACTTTATCAGTTAACAAGACTTCATCATTTTTTTCCTATTCTTAGCTTTTGATTAATTTTATTTCTATAATCTTTTTAAATTATCTTCATAATATTTATTAAGCAGGTATTTTTATACATTATATCTCTATCTTTTATCAATTAGTAATTCACAATTTTTAAATCTGGTTGTTTGATTTATTTTTTTATTTGATATTTCAATAAATATTTCATTATTAATTTCTGTACAAATATATATATTTTTTTTTTTCCCAAACTGATTTTTCTTAAATTTTGTTTTAAAATTTGATAATTTCTCTGTATTGTTTTGTGGTGTTCAATCAATATTTTTATCACTATAAAGGTTACTGGTTGGATTTGGAGAATATTAATAACAATGATAAGACTAAAAGGGTGGTGGAACAGCTCTTCATATAAAGGATATACTACAACCTGTAAGGATTGAATACAGGAAAAACTGTAATCAAGAGGTTGATTCTATACAAGTTAAACTCACGGGAAGAAAGTTTCCAAAAAACAAATGTCACAGATGAGACTAATAAGAGATTGTATAATGTGATCAGGGATGTTACTAATATTGTTACGTATCTGCTTGTTTGATAATTTCCGGTATAAATTCTTCCCAAGGAATTTCAGCGATACAAGTCCTTTCTTAAATAAAACTAGTTTATTCTTTCTCAATACACAGAATTTCCAAGGTCACGTTAACTTAAACACATGCTATAATTCACAATGATTCACACACTTTACTTATGACTTGACTCGATTATCTGTCTCTGTATCTCCATCTATCTACAATTATATCTCCGCTTTATTTACCGGGCTTATATACTAAAATAGAGGGCGCCTAGAAAAGACCAGAGTTGCCAGGAACAGTCATGATCATCTGTACACTCACTCACAGTTATAGCCCCTTTCCTGATTGATATGTTAATGCTTCAGTAGTGCCTGACTAACAGAAATGATTGATGTGTTAACGCATCATTAGCAGCGAATTTGTTAATTAACTAAGCAAATTAGCAAGTTGATTTTTAGTTAGTAGCATGCTCTGATCAAAAGTTAATAATGTTAAAATTCGGATTCAGCACTTCAAGAATGCTAATGTCAAGGTTTTTGAGTAATGCTGTAAGATGATTTTAAATATTCTTTTTTTTCTTCTCACAACAGAATATATTAGCAGTAATCTTGATTCTGACTCCCTGAGCTTTCTTTTGGAAATATTATAGTTGACCTGAATCAAGAAGTAAGTAGAAAGACAGAGATTAGATATAGATAAAGCATCAAGACCAGAAAAGGTTTTTTTCTCTCCAAGAGTTTAAGAAGAAGTCATAGACCAAATATGGAAGTCTCTCTATCTCTCTTTCACTTGTAGTAGGTCAACAGACAACAGGACGATGCCCGAGAAATTGGAGAGTTGCTAATGTTACTACTTTTTTTTTACAGAAAGTGAGAGTTGCTAATGTTACTACTTTTTTTACAGAAAGTGAGAGTTGCTAATGTTACTACTCTTTTTACAGAAAGTGAGAGTTGCTAATGTTACTACTTTTTTACAGAAAGTGAGAGTTCTAATGTTACTACTTTTTTTACAAAAAGTGAGAGTTCTAATGTTACTACTTTTTTACAAAAAGTGAGAGTTGCTAATGTTACTACTTTTTTACAGAAAGTGAGAGTTCTAATGTTACTACTTTTATTTACAGAAAGTGAGAGTTCTAATGTTACTACTTTTATTTACAGAAAGTGAGAGTTCTAATGTTACTACTTTTTTTACAGAAAGTGAGAGTTGCTAATGTTACTACTTTTT